TTCCCTTGAACAAATAATTTTGTTAAAAACAAGGTTTGGTTTCGACCATATAACCATTAGTAAATATGGCCCTTCTAGATTACATCTCATCAGACAAATTGAAGTATGTTTGGATCTCGATGACCACCTTGATGACATCAGCAAGTAAGAGTGTTATAATATAATCGGACTGAACTCTCTAATATCCCCATTCTTTCTAAAAGTCACATGCTTTTCTGCTTTTGCTCATCTATTGATAGGGACTGGGTGAATATAATGCTCTTCAATTGAACTTTCTGTGTGGAATTGGCTATTGTCCTGTTGGTGCCCTCTCATGGGAGGTGAAAACAACTTCAGGAAAACTGGTGCTCATTTCAAGACTTCTCACATGGACATATCTGCTATCTCACCTTAGACCAAGTATTAGGTGATTAAAACCCAAATATTTTTATTTCTTACATTCTTTTTCTTTTCTTAACATTTGAATATTCACATTCTTGGTATATAGATTGTGGTTTGTGATTCTGCTGGTGTTGTGACAACATTTTATGTAAGCTTACAAAACTTTGTGCATAAAATAAAATATTAATACATATAAATGGGTGTAATGGGGATTTTAATTTGCATTGGGTGCAGATGTGCTCGGAAGTTGATGCAGCGCCGTTGAGAGATGAGATAGATTTTGAATTCTTGGGAAACAGAATAGGATTGCTTTATCTTATTCAAAAGCTAGAGCCCTATTTTTGTAGACATGATCAAATTAATAAAACAAATCATGTTGTATCCTCTTTTATCTTCTATTTGCTGTTGTATTGGTTTACATTTATGGTTCAGTATACAAGACTAGACACTTGTGCTATTTTTGCCTCAATTATTTCAAAGCTTCAAGATTGCAGTTTCAACTTAGGATAAAATTTGGCAGTGAATTGACCATTACTTTAGACTTTAAATTGTTAGAGCATAAGCAAGATCATGTGGTTATAATCTTTACTACAAATGAAGAGAACTTTAGACTGCAAATTGTTGGGCCCATGCGAAGCATGGGCAAGATCATCTAGTATATTCATAGCCCGTTTGGCCAAGCTGTAAAAATTAGTTTATTTTGAGTTGTGTTTTTTTCTCAAAAGTACTTTTGGTGAGAAACAGTTTGTGTTTGATTAATTAGTTTGAAAATCAGTTCTGAGCAGCAATAGTGTTTGGCCAAGCTTTAAAAAACTGCTTCTAAGTGTATTTTTCTCAAAAGTGCTTTTGGAGAGAAACTACTTTTTTCTGCTTCTCCGAAACTGCTTCTGCTTCTCCTCAAAAACACAATTTTTCCTTCCAGAAACTTGGCTAAACACCTCAATTTTTGATCAAAAGTGCTTTTGGCAAAAAAAAAAACACTTTTGGCCAAAAATAAACTCGGCCAGTGGGAGAAAGTGATTGATCAGTATTGTGTTGGAACAATGAACCAGTGGGACCTGATAGAATTAATACTTATTTGATTTTTATCACATGGACTTAAATTTTCATGTTTCAAATTTTAAGGCAGACGTCGATTTTTTTATTTTTTATTTTTAAGGAAGACGAATGAAGCGATCCAAATATATTGAGTCTAAGATAATAGGTGTAAATTAAAATGGATAATGCACATTTAAGTCATTAAATCAACTTTTTTTTGTTTTACTATTTTAAGTGCAAATATTGTCGTCATTTAAACTAAGTGCCAAAGAAACTTTATCTGAATTCTTTTTCTTACATTATTCTGTCCCTCTAGTAGTACGCACCAGAGTTTTTTTTCTCTAGTGAAAATTGGGAATTGCAATGAAAACATTTGCCGCAAAGTAACGGCCAATGCAGCTATGAAGGTAAAAAGAGTGGGAGAGAACAAAATATGCATGCTCAAAAAGATTTCCTTTTCTTGGGATAATTGCTTATAAGTTTACCTCATTGCTTGTTCCATTTTCAGAGAAGAGAAAATTACCACACTTGTTAGATACTTAGATGTATGAGATTAATATATGAGAAATACATGTTATTCTTTTTTATTTAAATATTTATCACCTTTTTTTGGTTTTCCACCCGGTGTCCGGTATCCACATTGGGATCAGAGACGGATTCATGATTTAAACTCTATGAGTTCAACTTTTAAGATTTTTAATATTGAATCCATAATATTTTTAATGTTATGGGTTCTAATCTATTATTTTTGCAATTTTAATGAATTTTTACATATAAATTTTTACTCCGCATCAAAAGTTATGGGTTTAATTGAACCCGTAACTATCACAATGCATCCGCCTCTAATTGGGGCCCGAGCCCGACTAAATCCGGATTCGCTCCGGAAAGTCCTACATTAGAGGTAAAGCGCTCTCTAACAAAGACGACTCCATACCTAGAGACTCGAACCCGAGACATCTAGTAAAGGACGAACGAGTACCGCTCCACCACAACCCTTATCACTTAACTATGAGTGTTGTTGGAAAAAAACGATCGTGTATACGAAGAAAAGAAACACGCAACTTAAAAAGATGCATTACTGCTACCTATCCACATCTGTAGTTCTAGACATTTTAACACACTTCTGATAATGATTCTCATGTATGTTCTACTAATCGTTTACAGTAACTCAAATGAATGAGAAATATTAACTTCAACAGAACTGCTCCAAAGAATATAGTTAGAAATCAGATCTTTGTTCAGATGCTAATTGGGCCAAAGCCATGGGCCAAAGCCCTCAATCTAGAAAACTTTAAGAAATGACTATTGTTTGGAGGCTTATTGCTCGTCGTAGCTATAATTTAGCTAATCCGTAGCTACTATTGTTTGTCATAGGATGTATGTCGATTTCAATTCAGTTGTTTATACTGTATTCAATTATGATGTATTTGCTCTTGTATATTTTATATTCTATTCAATGTATTGAATTCAGTAGTATTCAAACAATAAAAAATTAAGAAATAGGATGTATACTGCTCTATTCAATTCGATTGTATACATTGTATTCAATTTCAGCTATATTCATTCTTAACTATTTTACGTTGTATTTAATTTCATTGTATTCAATTTGATTGTATTCAAACAATAAAAATTACAAAAATAATGATATTCAGTTATATTCAATTTACTGTATTCAATTCACTACATTTAATTCGGCTGTATTCACATAAAAATTCAAAAAATACAAGGATCTGCCACAAAAATCCTTTTGAATACATAAATATAGGCGAAAATACAAAAAAACTAAGTTGTATTTGCATTGAAAAATACCGAATACACTCCATTTTGAGTTTATTTGTACAGAATACAATGTATTCGTATCATTGTATCTAACTCAATAGCAAAGAAGAGAAGAAAATTCCTCGAAGATGGCGTCTTCCGGCCGAGCAAGTCACCACCCTCTATCGTCTGCACACATCACCGCCCTTTGTCGTCTCCGCAAATCACAACCGTCGAACCAAAACCATCACCACCCACTACCAGATCTGAAATTACGAAGTCACCACCCACCGCCTGGATCGGGATCAGGATCTAACATCGTCAGTTCTGGATCTGGATCAAACGACGGCCTTGCCGAGGGCGAAGAGAGAGCAGAGGCGGCTCAACCCAATTCGAGATATGGATCTGGATCAAACGCCAAGAGAGAGCCGAGGCGGCTCAACCCAATTTGGGGCCTAAAGCCAAACTGCAATGTGAGACCTTGGTGTTTTTCTTTTTTTAAAAAAAAAACTCTTGGGTCATTATTTTTATTTGAAGTCCATTTTCCTAACTTTGTGAGTTGCGAAATTATTAATAATTTTTTATAATTTACTTCTTCTAATAATTCCTTTTCAATTGAGACAAAATTATTAATAATTTTTTCCATTTACTTCTAATTGAATAGCTACTTCTTCTAATAAAATAGCTATTCATTTATCACTCTTGAGACATTATCGAAATATCAAAAATAATAAATTTTAAATAAAAAATAGTAAAAGATTAGGGCAATATAACTTGGTTGGATAATTCAATTGATGAGTTGATATCAAAATAACTTTCGCCGCTTTTGTGCTTAAAACTTGGAGAAAAATAAAAAAAAAAACTCACAAATTTCTATATTCAGTATATGTAGAGAAAATTAGAATTTTTTTGACTTTACCACCTTCGAATTTTGTTCCACAAAGAAGAATGATAAGAGTCTTATGTGTGCTTTTGACAGAAGGGAGTAAGAAATATATTATAGACACTTCCCAAAACTTGATGAAGAAGATAAAGAAGATAAAATAATGTGAGAGTTGTTGTAAAAATATAAATATGGAAAAAAAAATTAATCACGTAAAAAGTTCACCTTTACCAAAAAAACGTTCCATACCCCCGAAGTGAAAAAGGATTTATATCCCCTAAATATGCTAATAGTTAACATTTGTAATAGAGCAAGGTTCTTTTTCCTTTTCATAAAAATATTGTAGTACTTTTTATATTAAAACTTTATTTTTAAAATGTAACGATCCGATATGTCGTTTTGTCTTTTACATCCCTGTTTCTCTATTTAAGACTTTCTGCATGTATTTTTACTGTTTTATGACTTGTGGAAATGGTTAGTTTGGTTTTGGAAGAGTTTGGGTTGAATTCAGAACATTTAGTTCCATAATAGTGGCCTAAGGTGGCCAAGTTTGACTTGAGTCAACACTTTTAGTAAATGACTTTAGAATCGGGATTTAAAGGTTCCAATAGGTTCGTACAATAATTTTGACTTGGGCGTATATTCAGATTGAGTTTCGAGTGGGCCAGGAGCATTTCGACGCTTATTGTTGAAAGTTGGCATTTTGAAGGTTTTAGAATTTCCTAAGTTTGACTTGAAGTGGATTTTGATGTTATCAATGTTCGTTTGGGATTCCGAACCTTGAAATAGGTTTCTGTCGTGATTTATGACTTGTGCGTAAAATTTAGCATTATTCCAAGTTGTCTAAGTATGTTTCGATGCGTTCGGAATTGGATTAAAATTTAGCATTATTCCAAGTTGTCTAAGTATGTTTCGATGTGTTCGGAGTTGGATTAAAATTTAGCACTATTCCAAGTTGTCTCGGTATGTTTCGACGCGTTTGGAGCTGGATGAAATGAGTTTGAAGCTTAGAAGTTGATTAATAAGGTTTTAAGACACAATTCGTGATTTTGATGTTGTTTAATGTGATTTTAAGCTTTGACTAAGTTTGTATCATATTTTAGGATGAGTTGGTGTGGTTGGATGGGGTCCAAGGGGCCTCGAGTACGAATCAGATTGACATCGGATTGAGTTTTGGACTTAAGGAATTGCTGAAGGCTTCAGGTCAGGTGCAATCACACCTGCGAGGAAATGGCCGCAGGTGCGAGACCTCAAGAGCAGCCACATGGTCGTAGAAGCGAATTTTGGGCTGGAACCGGGAGGCTACAAATGTGAGGTTTATCCCGAATCTGCGAGCCCGCAAATGCAATGGGTACTCCGCAGAAGCGGAAACGATTCGATGGGCTGAAGACCACATAAGCGGACATGCAGAAGCGAAGAAAGTCCGTAGAGGCGGACTCGCAGAAACGGATCCTTGTTTGCAAAAGCAAAAATGCTGGAGGCTGAGGGTGATAGCATATGCGATCTTTGGACCGCACCTGCCAGACCGCAAATGCGGTCAAGTGACTGTAGGTGCGATAAACGCTGGGCAGAAGGGTGCATTTAATTCGGGACTTAGCTTACTTTCCCCACATTTTCACTTGGTCTTGGGCGAATTTGGGAGCACATTGTGGAACATCACAATGTAAGTAAATTCTACCTATTTTTAAGTTAAAAACATGGGTTTTTGGGTAGATTAAACATGAAAATTAGTGAGAATTTGTGAGATATTACGGAGAACCTAGGGTTTAAGTAAAATT